GATTCTATCAATTCAAAATCAATCATACTCACATAAGCATGAACAAATCGAAGCCCGACAATTACACATTAAACAAAAACAATCATCCCCTATCCCTAGCAATCGAATTTAGCTATGAATATCAAATTCAACAATTATGATCAATCCTCTCAAATAATCATTATTCATGAATTAAACAAGAGAAAAGAATTCTTACAATCAATCCAAGTTCCAGTCGAATTTGAAATTGAAGCTAAACTCTAACTGAGAAGAAGAAGAGAAAAAATGGAAAATAATGGTGAAAAGAAAGGTGAAAGATGAAGAAAAACAAGAGAAGAAAGGAGAAGAAAAGAAGGGAAGAGGAGGAGATTGGGTGTTTTCTCGGGACCTAGGGCTTTCACCCGGTCGAGAGATCCCTTTTTTCGAGTGTCGAACGCGTTATTTATATTAACAGGAGGCCCGCGTGGAAAAGAACATGTGCCGCGGTGCGGCGCTTTGCCGCGGCGTGACGCAAGGTATCTGACCTCTGTCGACCTCGTGCTAGTGGCGCGGCGTGGGAGAAGGGGCGCATCGCGGCGCGAGGAACTCATCTGCCGCGGCGTGGAGTCTAACGCGGCGTGGCGCATAAAGATCTGGGCTCTGACGGGGTCGTGGCGGCTGCGCGGCGCGATGGGCACTCTTGTCGCGGCATGGGAGTGCTTCACGGCGCGGAGGGAGCTTGTGTCGCGCTGCGGAGGTGTTGCCGCGCCGCGGCGCGCGGGACTGCTGGCACACTTCGCTTCTCGAGCTCGTTTGGACTCGTCCGAACTCGGAATTCGATTCTGTTTTTTTCCTACGCGTCGCTAACGAGCTCCTCTTTTTAATGGTTTCAGCTTCCCCAAAAGATTCTTGAAAACCTGTTCTCCCGGGATCTCCGAACTACACACCAAAAACGAAAAGAGAACAGAAAAAAAAAACGGAAAACAAACGGAAATCTCCGCAACACTCAAATGAACGCAAAACACATATTAAATGACGAAAAGATCCTAAAACCACTTAAACGACTCAATACGGGGGAAAAAGAACAGGAAAAT